CCCACTACAATTTTTAGGCCCATTATTTGTTTTTGTCCTTTTTTGGAAAATACACTGTAACCGCATTATAAACTCTTGACTTGCAGTGTGTAGTTTAAACTATCGTTTGTATTATATTATATTATGTATCGTTTTCATAATAGAATTGAGACTTACTTATATTACAAATCAGACAAACTAAAGGTCGGTCGCCGGCAAAGCAACTAGAGAAGCCATTACTGCATAGCAAATCAGACAAACCCGAGTTACTGGAATGAATATACAAGTACATGCTACATTAAGCAATAAAACTGTTTGAATATAGCACAAATAATATTACATAATTAGCCAATAAATATATATTTTTAATTAGCAGGCACAGTAATCCACCTCCATATCCACAATGGGGGAATCTGAGAATCGTATACATGACTTTCGGCAAGGTAAAATTAATTACAAATTATTATTTAATTAGCTTAGTCAAGAAGGGGCGGTAAGATTAAGACAAATCGAATCAATCTTACTCGCTTTTAACCTTTACATATTTGTTATGCATTAACGACAGAAATATCATACGTGTTCAAGCAATTATTATTTGTCTTCATTTCCACTTCTTAATTTGTCCTTCATCATCTTCAACCGATCATTATGTGACAATAATCTTAAATAAAGTTTTTTTTTACAACCTCATTGCCGAAAATTTGTCCCTTTCTCAGTCTCTCTGGTATATTTAGTTTCTAACATTATTTTTCCTTAAAAATTCTTGCCACTTTGGTGACCCAATCAAACATTTTTCCTTAAAAATTATTATATATTTGTGGGGAGATTGGCCCATGTAGTGACCACTGTAAATATCATGATTTTATCTATGATTTGTAACCTTAATCTACAAGTTAACTTACTTTACTGTTCAGGAAAAGAAGGAGCCAACACTTTTACTTTTCCACACTCTTCGATGAATCCAAAGATCATTCATCAAAAGGCAAATAAAATTATTTAAAAAAAGGAAAGAAATCCTGATACCTTATTTCATGAAAAACTTTGAGATCAAAGGGTCAAAAGATTGGGGGGTCATCCTCCTTTTTTTTTATAAAAAAAAACAAGTCTTGTCATAAACTTTATGCCCGCCACTCGATCAAAGACTAAAAGAGAGCACTATAATATATAAGTTCCTATTGAGAGACAGCAAGGACAAAGGTCAAACTTTTTATTTTTCGGGTAACAATTTGTTTCAAAGCTGTGGATTATTGGTGGCATAGATTCTTGGGATATTCATGACTCTTAGTAGTGGTCATTAGCATTATGATATCGTTGTTGTTAAATAAGAATGAAGAGATTTTTTGAACAAAAGGAAGAAACAGGTAGAGATTGCATTGACATAATGATATTTAAAGAGAAAAAAAATTGTTGGGGCATTTATTTGTTTGCTGAATGGTGGTGAATTGGGCTGGGCACCCAACAAATGCCCCAACCAACTTATTATTATAAATTTAGAAAGAATACACACAGATGGAGGGCTTAGAGGAAATGAAGCTTTCTCATGAATGGGGACCCCACATAAGTTGGTTCAGCTAAGATTCACAGTCTAATTTAAAAGCTTCTCTGCCTATGGGATGGGACATATCTCCTGTGATTTTACCAATCACAGTTTTGTAGGTCTTCATCTATCAGATTTGTAGTTCATTTACAATATTATTTATCAGTGATATGCTATTTTATTTTTATCCTTGCCCTTTGGGACTGTCATACCAAGAACTAAGAAACTCTCTCTCTCTCTCTCTCTCTCTTTCTCTCTCTCTCTATGTATTCTATATATATACCAACAAGTCCACAAGAAATAGAAAGTAGCAAGAATTTAAATTTTGGTTTGTTGAAGCAAAAGCACGGGAAGAAGATCATGATCATGCCACTTAGAGAGATCGAGATGAGCACAAGAATTCAACAGAAGCTGTGGCTGTGGAGGAGCCATGCATGTCCAGAGAGGCTGATCTTCATCATCAGCTTCCATGGAAATGGAATTAAGAATGGTTAGACGTACGGCTTTTAGCTGAGTTCTACTGCTCTCAATTAGCAAGAAATACAAGGTGGCAACCAAAGCAAAAGGGGTTGAAGAAAAAGATGTAACCCGGCAAGTCTGGTTCTTGGCTCATATTTACTTTTACTTTACTTGTTCGCTTCTTAATTATTTCTTTCTTCTGCTGTGCTGTTCTTCCCTCCCCCCATATGGGGATCGAAACTCCGACTTTATATCTTGTTATTAATTTCATTTAGTGGAACTATGAATTAACCCTTATTAATAACTTTGAGTTGTAATTTGTTGTTAGCTTTTCCAGTCATGGTAATAATTTTTTTCTTCTTTTACTAGTGGTCATCGATTCGTATTTTGAATGATTTGCTTGCTTCTGTAAAACCCAGATTAGATTAATGCTATATATAAATAATAACTTCCGGGCATACCTAAGTTCGAATCCCCCTCCGCATCGTTTAGGGTTTGTTTGGGTCCGCATCATTTAGGGTTTCGTTTGGAAGTGATTTTGGCTTATCCAGAATCACTCCAAACGAGCCCGATTAGATTAAAGTAGAACATCACTGTATTAAAATATTAAAAGAAAATTCCAACTTTGCTGCATTAATTGGTTACATTCAATTCAATTGAATTACAAGTCTGATTTTATGTACTCTGTAAAATGTGAACTCATCTGTGGTGCTTAATATATATACTCACAAAATAGTATAGACAAGATAGGGCTGGTTTACATGTACAAGGTTGTTTCTAGTTTTGATCTCTTCCTTTCTTTGGGGACTCAGTTCCAAGGATTTGGGATGATTATGGAATTTAATACGTATAATTCAAACTAAGCAACTAATAATGTGGTCATCTTGTTTGCTTCACGGAATTATATAATGTGCTTTTCTTGATAAAAGCACATTAAGGATTGCATGCAAATGAGGACAATCTTATACTTCCAACATCTCCTCCTCATCATCAAGGCTGTCTGTATTCATGGTTATAACCCAAACAAGTTTCAACAACTGCCAAAAGAAAGCACATAAATTAATTACTTGGGAGCATTTTTGATTTCAAACCCTTTACTTTTGTTTTTTGGGTCAAGATATACGGGACAAAATGGTTCGAGCAAGCAAAGTGGTAGATAAACGACGTGTTGTTTTCCATCTAAACGAAGTCCATCGGTGCTGAAGTAGTCTGCTTAGGTTAGCTGAGCTCACTCACAGAGAGAGTGAGAGAAAGAGAGAGAGAGAGAGAGAGAGAGAGAGAGAGAGAGAGGCAGTGCAGTTGGGTCGGTCCACATAGTACGGACTCAAATTCCGATAATGGGCTTCATGAACTTTTCCCTGGCCCACTACCATTGTAGAAGTCTGCTAGGTCTGTCCACATAGTACCTGATTTTTCATGGACCTTTATAAACTCAAACCCAAGAGACGAGAATCAATCAAGCAGGCTCCAACACCTACGTGGCCCAAACTCCTCAATCATATTATTTATATTTTCTCATATGATGAAAAAACCGATTAGGTTAGTTGATCAGGACAGTGAGCCTACCCCTTTGCATCCAAATTTGAATCTTTTTCTCCTTATATTATATTAATTTAGAATAAGTTAAACTATTATTTGTATAAAAAAAATTATTTTGTCACATGGTGCCCACAAATGAATTTGATTGATTCCTCCCATCTTTGATATTTTGTGTGTGTAATGGATTTGATAAAATGAATGATTAATGGTGGTGGTGGTGGCTTTCACTGGCTTTGTTTTTGGGGGTAGCCATGTGGGGGCACCTAACTAATCATGCACCCCCTCATCGATTCTGAAATGGACACAAAACAAAAGATCCATCCATCTATTATCTACATATTGTTGTAAAGTAAAAGGCCCATCTACATATTTGTTTAGTGGCAGTTTGTTATTATTTTTGGTCCTATCTATCCTAATTCCCATGGCATTGCAAATAATAATGAGAATTTTCAGTCCTTTCCCAAGGAAGCTGCCCTTTTCACATGGCCTCCCTCCAGGCTCTTCCATCTTTTTTATGCTTTCAATTCAATTATTGTCTAATAATTTTCCATTTCACCACATTTGCAAATATTCATTTGTTTATCTGTACATTACATTGCATTATTTTTTTTATTCATATATAAATTATTGCAAAAGAGCCAGATCAGTGCATGTGAAGTTGTGGAGGCTTCAGACATTGTTTTATCTTTTATGGGAGGGACTGGAATTTGGTGACCTAGTTAGGAAAATGAATTGTAAGAAAACATTTCTTTCCTTTTTCATGGAGACCCACCATCTCTCTCTCTCTCTCTGAGAGAAAGTTCCAAGTTGTCTATCTTGTATTGTTTTTCCACATCTTATAAGTTATAACATGGAGAGATTCTCATCTGCCCAAATTAATCATGTCCTGGACCAGCACCCTAAAAGCATATTAATTCAATCCTTGATTGATTCACTGCTTATAAGTTATATGCACAACCAGCCTTGACAAATCAGAAAGGGGAGTTATTTTATTAAAATAACTACAAAAGCATATGCATGTCAGTGGTTTTCCAAGTAATTAATAAGCTGCTGAGGAGCTAATTCTATTGGGACATTAAACAGCAGATGAAAGTACAGTTTTTTCACAATAAATTACAAGAAAAAAGAAGAAGAAGGAAACCAAGTACCATTATTAGTTAATACCAGTCTGAGTTGACTATGATCAATTATAAGAATATGCAAGTATTTATCATCAGTCCCTGGATACACATTCTCTCCATGTTTTGCTGTCTGAGAGATTTCCAATAAATCCAAACCTTGACAGTCATTAGGATTCATATAATTAGATTAGCTGCTACCCACTGATCCCAAGAACCCACGTATTCACAATAACTTAATCCCAATCTGTCATTATTACTTATCAAAACTGAACCCATTTAACCAATCTCTCTCTCTCTCTCTCTCTCTCTCTTCTCTTGAGTCTTTGACACTCTCTCTTCCTCCCTCTGTTCCAAAAGCCCAGAAAATGCCACCATTCTGTTAAGAGCTAGGAACATACCAGGTAGAACAACAACAAACATGTCAACCCTTTTGATGTTCTTCTACTGTTTCACTGGCCTCTCTCTTGTTTTTGCTCAGGCTCAGGGAGGTCAAACCGTGCCGAAAGAGGAATTATCCACCTTACTATCAATCAAAGCTAGTCTTGTTTATCCAATGGATGGCCTCAAAGATTGGAAAATTCCAAGCAATGTGGTTCAGGAAGGTTCACCCCATTGTAACTGGACTGGAGTTATGTGTAACTCCAGAGGCTTTATAGAGAAGCTGGACATCTCCAACATGAACCTCAGCGGCCATTTATCCGATCACATTCAAGGCTTACGCAGCCTTTCTACTCTCAACATTTCTTGTAATGGTTTTGCATCATCGTTGCCAAAATCGCTATCCAATCTTACCTCACTGAATACCATTGATGTGAGTCAAAACTACTTTGTTGGTGATTTTCCAACTGGTCTTGGAAGGGCTTCAGGACTGACTTCAGTTAATGCATCAAGCAATAACTTCTCAGGCTTTCTCCCAGAGGATCTTGGACATGCCACATCCCTCGAAAGCCTAGATTTCAGAGGGAGCTTCTTCGAAGGTTCAATCCCCGCATCTTACAAGAAGCTGCAGAAGCTAAAGTTTCTTGGCCTTTCTGGCAACAATCTCACTGGAAACCTTCCAAGAGAACTTGGCCAGCTTTCCTCTTTAGAGACTATTATTCTCGGATACAATGCGTTTGAAGGTGAAATTCCAGCAGAGTTTGGCAATCTTACCAATCTTCAGTATCTTGACTTGGCAGTTGGCAATCTCAGTGGTCAAATCCCACCTGAATTGGGTAGGCTACAAAAACTTACCACAGTTTATTTGTACAAAAACAATTTTGCAGGAAAAATTCCATCAGACTTTGGTAACATTACATCACTGGTGTTTTTGGATCTCTCTGATAATCAGATTTCAGGAGAGATTCCAGCAGAGCTTGCACAGTTGATGAATTTGCAGCTTTTGAACTTAATGTGCAATAGACTAACTGGTTCAGTTCCTAACAAGCTTGGCGAGTTACCCAACTTAGAGGTACTTGAGCTATGGAAGAATTCTTTGACAGGTCCTTTGCCAGTGAACCTTGGAAAGAATTCCCCATTGCAGTGGTTAGATGTGTCATCAAATTCATTATCAGGTGATATCCCACCAGGTTTGTGTAGTTCTGGCAATCTCACAAAACTCATCCTCTTCAACAATTCCTTTTCTGGTCCAATTCCAGTAGGTCTTTCAACTTGTTTGTCACTGGTTCGTGTTCGTATGCAAAACAATCTTATTTCAGGAACCATGCCAGTTGGTCTGGGAAATCTTCCTATTCTTCAAAGGCTAGAATTGGCTAAAAACAATCTTACTGGTCAAATTCCCGTGGACATTGCTTTGTCTGCATCTCTTTCCTTCATTGATGTCTCTTGGAACCACCTTGAATCATCTCTTCCTTCTAGCATTCTTTCCCTTCCAAATCTTCAAACTTTCATGGCTTCCAATAACAACTTGGAAGGCAAACTCCCAGACCAGTTCCAAGATTGCCCGCTGTCAGTGCTCGATATTTCAAACAACCACATCTCTGGAAAAATTCCAAAGAGCATAGCTTCTTGTGAGAAGCTGGTAAATCTGAACCTTAGAAATAACCAGTTCAATGGGGAAATCCCTAGACCAATAGCAACAATGCGTACATTATCCATTCTTGATCTGTCCAACAATTCTTTGGTTGGTAAAATCCCTGAAAGATTTGGAAGTTCACCAGCCTTGGAGATGCTTAATTTGTCTTACAACAGACTTGAGGGTCCAGTACCAGCATATGGTATGTTAATGACCATCAATCCTAACGATCTGATGGGCAATGCTGGTCTTTGTGGAGGCATACTTCCACCATGCCCTCAAAGCTTAGCCGCAACAGCAGGTCCGCATCGAAACATGCACATCAAGCACATCATCACTGGATTCATCATTGGAATCTCAGTACTTTCATGTCTTGGCGTTGCATTTTTCGCTGGGATATGGGTGTATAGGAAGTGGTACTCGTATAACAGCTTTAACAACTGGTTTAAGACTACCAATCAAGAATGGCCTTGGAGGCTAGTAGCATTTCAGAGAATTAACTTCACAAGTGCTGACATTCTTGCTTGCATACAAGAATCAAATATCATTGGCATGGGCGGGAGTGGGGTGGTTTATAAGGCTGAAATCCATCGGCCACATTCAGTTGTGGCAGTCAAGAAGCTATGGAGGCCAGGGACAGACATTGAGAATGGGGATGATCTATTTGGTGAAGTGAATCTCTTGGGCAGGCTCCGGCACAGGAACATTGTACGGTTACTAGGGTACCTTCATAACGAAACCGATGTGGTGATGATATATGAGTTCATGCCAAATGGGAACCTCGGGACTGCATTGCATGGAAACCAAGCAGGAAAGTTGTTGGTAGACTGGGTTTCAAGATACAATATAGCAGTGGGTGTTGCACAAGGTCTGAATTATCTCCACCATGACTGTCAGCCACCAGTCGTCCACCGAGATATCAAATCGAACAACATTCTGTTGGATACAAACCTTGACGCCAGAGTAGCAGATTTTGGGTTAGCGAGGATGATGATGCACAAGAATGAGACTGTTTCAATGGTGGCTGGGTCTTACGGATATATTGCTCCTGGTAAGTTAGTTACCAAGAACCTTTTTTAATTGCTCAAACAGAAACCATACTATCGAAACTAGTTTGCTCTATTAATTCTAACTTCTATTGTTATGTGGCAGAATACGGATACGCCTTAAAGGTTGATGAGAAGACTGACATCTATAGCTATGGTGTAGTTCTTTTAGAGCTTATAACTGGAAAGATGCCTTTAGACCCTACGTTCGGGGAAGCTGTGGACATCGTGGAATGGGTTCGAAGGAAGATGAGAAACAAGAAAGCCTTGGAAGAAGCACTGGATGCTAGCATAGCTGGTCAATGCAAGCATGTCCAGGAAGAAATGCTTCTTGTCCTCCGAATCGCACTTCTTTGTACTGCAAAACTCCCCAAAGACAGGCCATCCATGAGAGATATCTTAACAATGCTTGGAGAGGCAAAACCAAGGAGGAAAAGCATTTGTGAGAGCAGGGGCCAAAAAACTGGTAAAGAGAAGCCTATCTTTAGCACCTCACCGGTCATGGGGCTTCTGTAGGGATTTGTTCTCCAGGCTGTTTCTACAAGTATCATTTTCTTTCATGTAAATGCATTTTCTCTTTTCTTTGTACTTAAATTTATACCACGCATTCATAGCAGGATATGCCATTGAATGTTCATTAAAAAACACTTACATTAATTTAAATTGAAAATTCTTTTTACCCCGCCAAGAAATGTTCTCTTTTCTAAGAATATATTGTACTATAGGCATTTAGGCTAAGATAGTACACAAATACTATCTTAGGCTAAGATAGTAAACAATGTTCGAAGAATCGCTAGGCAGTAGGCGGGCAGGCAGGGGCCTAGTGCCTAGCGTTTCTTTTATAAAAATAAATAAATTATTTTGTATTATAAATTATAAATTTATACCAAAATTAATTTTTAAAAATGTATATATGTGAGTCATAAGATATATGACTTGATATAAAGCAGAGGGTTGAAATAAAAACACAATTAGGGTTTTAGTATATGGGCGGCCGTCTAGGCCAATTTTTCGAACACTGGTAGTAAACAGAAGGAATGCTTTCAAAATGAATAATTCTATTAACAATTTTAATTACAACGTTGACAAAAGGAAATACAATGAGGATTTCCAATCACAGTACAATGAAAAATGGTGGTTGAGAAGGAAAAATGTTGCCTCTTCTCAAGCCACAACTATTTCCTCTATAACTGGCTTACATCTCTTATGCCAAAAAGCTAAAAAACAAAAACCATGTGACATGAGGACAAGGAAGACCATATTGCACTACAAACAAACATTGAATCTCATTGTGAATAGGAGGGCTTTTACCTCGGACTCAGAGCCAAAAAAATTTGTATTGGTTCTACAACTGTCTATTCCTCGGAAATCTATGCTGCTCCACTTAAAAGAGCAGTTCCTGATACATTCCCACCTTCAAGAAAGCTGCCGGATTGTAGCTGGAAAGAAGGAAGATAAGGGAAAAAAAAGAGAGAGAGAGAGAGAGAGAGATACCCAGTTCATAAGTATATAATGAGAAGTGTATAGGTTACAGATGAAATGAATTTATTGCTCAGAGTAGTTTTGTAGAAATACTTTCTTCTTCTAATTAATGAGAGTAGGGCTACTTCTAACTACAAAATTGACAGATAAAACTTCATACAATAAGCAAAAAGGAAATTCAAATTTTGGCACCAATAACAGCATATAACTACTGAGTACTGACAGATACAATACCTCTCTATCATGAGATCCAGAAAGAAAAAAGGGCTCTTTTTCCCGAACACCACCATTGTCTTCAAAAATTCTTTGCAAATCCTGCCAATACCAAGAAGAGTGGATCTCAATATTAAATAATAAATAAATGTTGTTTGTAATTTGCCGATATCAGACAACTAAGTCAATCAACATGGAAATATGGAGATTAAAGTTATTGGATAAAAGAAGACGTGTAAAGGAACCAGTCAAAATCAAGATTTTTTTACCTTTGCAGTCAAGATTTCAAATTCCAGTAACTCCTCAACTATCTTTTCAAGAACTCGACGATTTTTGTGGAGCATTTCTTGCGCTTTATAATATGCTAAATCATATATCTGTGGGATAAGAAGACACTATTAGATAAGCTGCATCAACCAATATTTGATTAGTAAGAAATAAGAGTAATAGTCCTTCATACCTTTTCAACTTTAGCTGCCATGTCATACTCATGGTTATTCCCCATGCTTAAAGCAGTAGCCTGTGCCAATGAGAACGTGCAATCTATCACTAAACAAGAAGCCTATTGAACCCTTAAACCAGATAGAAACAACTAGGGGTGAAATTTGATGCATATTTGGAAGTGCAAAGAAAACATTGCTACTTGCTATCTCATTCTAACAAGATTGGCAAGGAACTGTCCCACGTCCATAACCAATAACTTCCCCAAGTATTACAATTGAATGTATTTTAAAAGAAAAAAACAGTTCTTTTATAAGAAACGCAAGCTAAAAGAAATACATTTTTAGATGAATAAACAAGATTTATCAACCAAACTGCAAAGGGCAGAAGAGTAGAACAGCAGCAGAGCTAGCTCTGACAGCAAAAACAATATCCGAAGTTCAGAACTAACAAACATACCTATGCAGGATGGTAGCCCTCCATTATCATAAAAGAATAAGAAATATAATGTACACAGTACTGGATGACACATGAGAAATATCTATTTCTTTATCACATGACCAAATTTTGAATGTAAAGACAGAAGAATACCGCATTAGTGTGATAATATATTGCAGGACTATCATCAGGCCCCCAACCATACTGAATGACCATCCGTGTAGCAATCTGTTACAAAAGGGGGAGGGGGAAAGCAGAAAAGCAGTTATGGTTGCATATCCTCAAGATATTTTTTGCTTCTTATAGATTAAGATCAAGCATAGAAAAGAATCAACCTCCTGTGACTGCGTTAACTCTGAAGAAGAAAGAAAGTTCTCTTCCCCAAAAGGTAGTAGCATTTGTGCTGCAACATGTGAACCGAAACAAAATACAAGCTTCTTCTCAAGATATGATCTTGATTCAGAATTCGCATTCACAGATCCTTCATTTCTCACCTTGGTTATTTTTGTACATCCGATTCCCTGTAAAAAGAGGCTTAAATTTCTCCAGTGTTTTCCCAGGTTATGTTCCATAAATAATTATTGTCAACATTATCTGCCCACAAAACTTATAAATTGAACACGTTTTATAGTTTTTAACCTTTAGAGATCTAAATACATAATGACATAGAGGACAAACCTGCCAAGACAATGGCTCCAGCCATATATTATCTACAACATCAAAGTTTGGCAATAGAAGGGCAATGAGACCTCGACCTGCAGCCCAAACAGCATGTGGGAACTTGGTATCCATTGTCCACTGGAGAATTAATGAACTTACATTAAATCATTCTTGAAACAAAAGGAAACTACGGTTCCATCATGATTGTACGCATGTAAAATCCTGAAGTAAATAAATCTGAAAACTTACATGTATTTTAAGTTTAACAATAATAAAGATAAACAATGAATAGAAATCACAATTTTTTTTCCCAAAGCATGAAAACTAGAAAACTCTTGAGGTACAAATACATCATTAGGACTTGAATCCAAGATTATTCTTACTACTTTTGATTTAAAAAGCACAACCTGACCTAGGATAACTACAAAGTTGCAACAATTAAGCAAAGCAAGTCAAGGAAGGAACCGCCAAAGTTAACTAGGTAATATAACCACTTCAGCCCACAAACTGTTAGTATATTCAAATTCAAACATCTAATTTCTTTCTCTGTGCCATGACAATTGAGTAGGAGAAAGTATTTAAAGCAGTGAAAAGTTTTAAGAAAGAAAAGTATAGTAGTATGTCCTCAAGCTATTCACAGCTAATTGATGAAAAGAAAGTATCTTGAAATAATTAATAGAACACTTGCAGTAATAACTAGTTACCTCAAGAGGAGGGTTTAGAAGTTCTATTCCATTGGTTATCTGACCATATGGCTCCATCAGATCAACCACACTCTGCAGATCTTCTTTAGTCAATGTTAGCCCTAGATGATTCACCAGCATTTTACTTAGCTTCTTCACGATTTTGGTTTTCCGCATCCCTTCAGGAATGAAAGTGCTGAAAGTCTGCAAAAGCAATAAGGACACACTCAAAATGGATACAAAAATGACATGGATTCTTTCAAAGACAATGAGACAACTGTATCAATTGTTTCTTACCACAAACCAACTACAGTAGCTCATAAGTTCATCTGTATCAAGAAACTTGCTCCTAAAAGCACTACCTTCCAAGGACGCAGGCACCAGCTTTAATTCTATAGGTCGTAAAAGAGCTGTCTTTTCAGCAACCTGAAGGCGGAGAATGAATATAATGAAGGTATACATGTTATATAATGATGGAGTAATATAGGTTATGGATAGAAAAAGTAGAGAACCGAGTATATTTCAGAAAATAATTACAAAACTTATCAACTCCTACAAGCGACAAGAAAACCCAAAAATGAAAATCATTTGGGTAAGTAAGGGACTAAAAGATTTAAGCAATGATGTCAACAGCTCAAATGCTCATATTGAGGACATATATGGTATCACAACTCATTAAGACAACAGAGAGCAATAGAAACCATCCACACACATTTGTGCACCGGCAGGTTACAAACCCACACAAGAAACTCATCAACCTCAATAACAGCTTTAGTGTGAAAACAAATAGGATAAGAAACTGATTCAGCAATTACCTTTCTCCAGTCTACAAAATCAATGAGTTCATTATCCATTGTTTCTTTTGCAGCAATATGTAATATCTTCTCTCTTTCTGCTTGAGTTGGCCTTTGAAGATGAAATACTCTATCCATGCGGCCAGGCCGCTGTAAGGCCTCATCAATTTGCTTGAGATTTCCAGTAGTAGCCATCAATACAACCCCATCTTGTTTCTCAAACCTGCATCAAGGGTAGAATACATAGCAGATCATTTCTAACACCACTACTAACACAGACAGACAAAGGAGATGGAAAGTAACAACACCTCTGATACGTTATTCAGTTACTATTAGCTCAAATGACATCAAGTATATATCTATACATACAAAAAGGATACTCAGCTCCACACAAAATACCCATTACCTCAAGAATCATATATGGCCAAAGAAAGGCCCATAAAAGAATTTATTCAAGGATTGTTAGTCCAATAAACAAAAGAAGAGCTGAGGGTTACCCGTCAAGTTCCACAAGCAGTTGATTAATAAAAGCTTCGTGATCTTGATTTTTAGTGTGAATAAATTTTCCACGAACACCAGCAAAGAGGTCAAAATCCTCCACAAATATGATTACAGGTGCCTAGAAATGGCATAAACTGGCTCAGCAAAAGATATAGACATAGAAAGGTAAAGGAACTTATTTCTTTCATAATTCACATAAAGTAACTCAGCAAGATAGATAGCTAGCTACCAATTCTCTCGCAGTTTGAAACAGCTCCCTAACATTTGACGCACTTTGCCCAACCCACAGTCCAGCCTCCAACTCTTGAGCTTTAATGTTAACAACAGGAACCTTAGCCTGAGCAGCTATAGCCAGTGCTAGAGATGTCTTTCCTGTTCCCCTCTCACCTACAATCAGAACTCCCTGCGATATAAAGAATAAACGATTTCAGAAGCTGATCAACCCATTAAATTAGTATCCACAGCAGCAACTAGCA